TTTACCAAATCTCTGATACCAGAGCCTCATTTCTAGACATCAACTTCCACATTTCATACTATTCTCTTAAAACCACCATACATACACTACAAAGACACTAATATTCATGCTTACATAGACTATCGCTCTTTCCATCCACCCGTAAAGGGCTGCTCACAAGACTGAGTCACTTATGTTATGAGGACCAAGACTACTGAGATGGTAGGATGTTTACAACAATGTAAATACCTGGCCAATGGCATCAAAATAGCCCGCAACCATCTACACACCGTATCCAATGCTACCCAAGCTAAGGACGAAAAAAGGCAACATGATAGAGCCCCCTTGTTTTTAAAATACCATCCCCTTCAGAGATTCACAACAAATATCATGCAAAAAAAATTTAATTACTGATGACTTACCCCATCACTACCAAAATGTTTAATATACCTCCCCTAGTTTCTTATAAACATAATTCCAACTTCAAAGACTACTTGGTACACTTGAAGCTACAGAAAAAACTTCCCCCATTGTTGAAAGTCATCATTGTACCAGAAAATTTTGTTATACCTGTCCAAACATTTCAAACAACACCAGAATAACTAGCCCTAGTTGCACTTTTCACATTGAGGGACATTACACCTCCACGTCAGAATGTGTAGCAGGTGTCAAACTATACGTTAGAGAAATAGCTCACTGACTGGGTGATCATTTTCATGAAAATTTTAGATGTGTCAGAAAAGGCTCCACTAACCTCCCAATTCTTATACACATCAGTTCTCCTGACCACAATGGTACCTTCGACTTGATAGTCTCAGTCATGAGAAATATGACTCAACAAGTTAACACAAGAAAGCCTTGAACACTGTCTTATCTTCCAACTCAACACCCAAGTCCCTTTATAGTATAAATGAAAAAATTTACTTTCAAGTAATTATAAAACTCCATCAACCCTTTCTCTAATTTCATTCCCTTAAACCTTTTCTTTAGATGCATTTACTTTACCTCATACTTGTATTTAAATTTTCCTCTTCTAACTTACCTGTACAAAAGTATTTTCCTTCCCTTAATTATTTCCCTATGTTTATTATTTTCCATCTTATTTTAGGTCTAATTACTTTTCCCATGTTCTTGCTAATTTTTAACAATATTACGTAATAAGTTCAACAGTGTTTTTATCAGTATTTTTGTCACCATGCTCTATGTTGAACGTGTGTAATTAGAACCTTTGTATTATCTTACCTTTTAACAATTATTTTTAAACTAATTCCATTATAACACAGTTTTTACTGGCTGACGAATGACATGTGCTAAAAACATCGCACAAAATAAAATTAAACAAGTTTTAATTTGCACGTGTGAATTTATTCTTTATTATCATTTATCAAAGAAATACCTGGGTCTGCTTCAACATGCTGCATACCACACAGAATGCTGTGCAAGAGAAGTCCGTGATTATTAATACTTCACCTAGTTTCAAACTTATAGTCAAGTATTAGTCTAGATGCATACAGGTAACCAATTGTGTAGAACCTACTGAGAAAGATTGTGGTGGGTGGTGGTATGGTATAGGCTCCATCCTATACATTCAACATGAGAGTTATCAGTATCTGTGTAGTGTTTTTATTTATGAAAGTGCTTATATATATATCAAATGAAAGTTCCAGGAGCTATGATGGGTTTTTAAGATAATAGATCAGCATATTATTTTTGTGGGGCAGTGGTCCCTTCCACAAAACACACATGACTTGCCCATTTTCAAAATAGCAATACCAACATGTTGGAATTTAAACCTGCTTAAAGCTTAGTTATTAACCATACAGAAATATTTGAGATCATCAGGAGGAAAGATCCATTTGAAAAATTAGACCACAGTTGTTTTTTTTTTTTTTTACTTCAAATTGCAGAGCATTTGAAACAACTATCAAAAAAAATTATTTAAAACGTGTATTGGAAGATAACTGATGGTTTTCTCACAGAATAGCAGTAGATATATGGGCATGATTATTGGTACATAGTGTTAGTATTATGAATACAGGTCTGGATACTTCTAGAAGCCAATGAATACTGAGAAACAGTGGAGAGTAGGAACAATGACACACAGTTAACTCAGCTTCCTCTTCATAAATAATCTAGGAAAATGCAAACACTTCAGTTAATTTTGAGAGCATTGAAATTTTTGTTGGAGTACTATAAATTTTACTTTGAAGCATAAACTTACATATTAAAACAAGTGAGCATTATTCATTGCTTACTGCCATTCACTGTATCTTAATGTCATTTAAAGTGTTACTTAGCGGAACTTGAATGAGGATGTAATTGAAATTATAAATAGTTTCCTTCCAATTTTGTTTCAATCAATCATACATGCTGGAATAAAAATGTGTTATAAATAGTACACATATTACCATTTTCTATCAGTATGCCACTACAAAAAAATGTATATTGATTAAGTTTTTTTTATATATATTTAGTTTCCTCTGCTCTCTAATTTAAAAGTTTTCATTTTTATACTTAGAACCCATTACTGAATTTTAAGGTTTGTTTCTGACTGTATTTAGGAAGACTGATTCATTTTGACTTTAACATTCTGGTTAATTTAATTAAAGTAGTAAATGATATCTAATTTAATTAAATTAACCATAACATCATTACAGAAGGTTAATCACATAATTTGAGTGTGTGTGTGTGTATATACATATATGGTTTATACAATCAGCCAGTGAACAGTGCAATGCCACAAGGGAAAATATGGCAAAGAAGGATATTCATATACAGAAAATATTAAACTGTGTAGAGCCAAAGACATTTTGAAGACTGAAACCATCAGTGTTCTTTATGAAACATGCATAGTAGAGCATTTAGGATAGCAACAGGCTGCAAAAACATTCCACAGCCCAGTCCAGAGCCCACACCCTCATTCACAAAATGAAGTTTATTGCTACAAAAGAGAGTTCTGTAATCCCCACCTAAAAAAAAAACATTGTGACGAAGTTGAACATGTCCCCTGGTACCAATAAGATAATGAACAAGATTTGAAGGTGACAAGCACTCCTGAGCTTCCAACTTTCTGTGAAGCCGATACGTTTCTAGTATTTTTTTACCTTTATTTTGCTTAAAAGTGGTCTTTGAAGCTCACATCCATATACAATGGAGTGACTATAGAAAGTTAGTCAAAGAAATAGTAATATTGGAAAATAATGCATAGTCATGGTCATCAGATTGAGCACAGTTGACAAAGGAGAAAACAGTTTCAGGAGAAATTCAAACATAGAACCTGAAACATTGTTTTTATAAAGTATGATTAATCTCACTTTTTCAAAATGTGTTTCTGTGAGTGAATTGTGAGAGTACTTGTGTGAATAGTGTTAACATTCTGTAACATTATTATAATGTATTATCAACACACTTCTGTCAAGCATTGTACACTTATTGGAAATAATACATATATAAGATTTATAATGATAATGACACGCATCTTTTATTTCCTTGTTTTCAGTGAAATGCTACATAGTCACATAACTTTGATTTCTGTTTCAAAGCACATGTGAAGAGAATGAGAGTTGTTCCTCAACCAGTTTATTATGAAACTTATTCACATTATTAATAATTTGATACAAATTAAACTAACAGTTTAGATGAAACTAATTTTTACACATGTAATATACTACATAAAAAGATTAATTTTGAAAAATATTTCCTAAAGTTTTTTTGCGGCCACTTTAAGTAGATAGAAGTAAAAGGGCAGAAATAACAGTACTTGAGTAAGTTTAGTTGGAATTGTGCAACAGTTACAAATATTACTAGGAATTACAGAAAAGATGATAAAGTGATGAAGTATTTTTAAAATTAAATAGTCGAATATTGTGGAAATAAACTTTTTTTATTATAACAGGAGAAAGTATAATTATGTCAACTTTTAATCTAAAGAAAAATAATAAAGAAACAGAAAAGAAGTAAAAGTACATTTTATAAGCTTAAACCAATTTGTTTTTACTGTATTTTAATTTATATAATTTATATCATGATTGTATTTTATGTGTGTGTGTGTGTATTCATGATAAAACATATAATTTGTGTTATTTACCTTTAGTTGAAAAATTGTATATGAAAGTTTATGGATTCTGAGTAAAATGATATCCTGAGAAGTGATCTTTGGAGTCACAAATCAGAATATAAGCCAGAAAATAACAGGGAGAAAGACCAGAAGAGTTCAAGTATTGTGGTATATAAAAATGTTATTATAAATAGATAGTTTTTTTACAAAAAAATAAATTAACTTAGATTAGCTTTTTGTTTTATAATAATTTTATCTATATGTGCTTTAAAGAAAAACTCCCGAGTTTGTCACCAAGTTCAGACAAACTAGAACACCTGGGAAAAGCTAGACCTAAACGACCTAAAACAAGAGCTCCTACTCGTCCAGCAATACAACCATTGGAAACACACGAAGACATCCACAATCTTGGTGAAGGACTAGAAGTTTTTTTCCGTCGTCATCCAAACTCCACATCCACACCAGCTTTGTCACCTGACTCTGATGAACCAAGGTGAGGTCCTTGTTAAGGAAGAGTAACAGAACTTTACATGTTATTGTTAAAGGACACTTTTCTTTTAGTACTTTTCTCAGTTGGGGTTACGACATATGAAACTTAACCCCTTACCTACCAGGGCCATTTTGTCTTATCGTGAGGGAAAAATCACATTTGTGAATTGAAGAACTTATCTTTTATTGGATTTCAGATTTTATTTTTGTAAATAGTAGCATAACATTCAATTATTTTTACAAAATTGTATTATTTAATGAATTTTAAAGAGGAATTTAATGAAAAAAATCCTAAAATACGTTTGAGACTGTAAATATACACCCTCTAAGAAGAAAATTTAAAAAAAAAATTGTTAAAAAAAAAATTCCTTCCACTTCAGCACTGGTCCTTCCATCTATGATTGGTATCTAAACCTTTTTCTAGTCTGTTTTCTTTATAAAACAGTGTCTGGGCATGTTAAACCTCAGTTGTAAAACTTTTAACCATTCCTAGTCGAAGGTGTCAATTTCAGTACTATGTTATTCCAATCGCTGTATTTTACGTTTGACAAATCATTGGATGATAACCAAAGCACGTGACGAAACGTTGTTTTCTGGATTTTACAATATGAATGTGGGTGGTGCTTATTATAGTAACTGAAATTTTATGTAGAGGTTGTATTTAGTATTGGCCAATAGTACTTTTCTATAAGCGTTAGAAAATTTGCTTCTGGAAAAAACTGCATGGAATGTACGTGACTTTTGTTATTTTTCTATAGTAGCTTAAGTCAAGCTGCATCGTATATCTATTTATATTTATCATTATATTGAAAAATTAACTCAAAATAGATATATTTTTTAGGAAAGAAGTTATACACGATTGTTAGGGTTAAGAGTGATTGAGTAGTGAGTGCAGGGTCATTACATGAATTAGGCTTAGGACTTTGAACTGAAAGAGTTTGTGATTTTTTATATTCTTTTGAATTTAAATTTGTAGTTTTAAGTTCAATAATTTAGTGTAATTTTATATTTAGTTCATAATACTATGATTCAGTATTTAGAATGATAATCTTGTGTGATTTGTTTGTAATACTACCAGTACCACATAAGAATTTTATATTTTTCCTTCTTATAATCTTTACAATGATGTAAGATCCACATGTTTGTTGTTATTGCTTTAGAATTGAAACAGTCTAACTGATATATATAAAATTTATTCTGATATCTTGCAAATGGTTTAAAAGTCAGTGTACAAGTGACAACAATAAAACCCATATGTTGGTTGTGAGACAGATTAAATACATTTGTCTCAATAATACAGGGAAGCTATGACATTCTCACAGTTTGGTGTATCAATAAACTGAAGAGCTTAAGTTTCGAATTCCAACGTAAATCTTGCCTATAATGGGAGGAATGTTACCAGGATTAATCTTTTAAGTGTT